GTCCTAAGTTTTTCAGCCTAAAGGATAACCCCGTGCAACATAAATAATGCTTCGTAACTCTCTCGAGGTGGGGTGTTACTCGTATTATTCAGCGGGCACAAACTATCATCTCCTGCTACCCGATTACTATCTTTAAGTTTTTACTTAAAGAGCGCTAGTTGATTCTAAACCATGCCTTATGCGTGCACTACCCGTCCCATGCCTATGGTCCAGGAGGCATTTGGACCTCTATTTTGGGTGGTTCTAGACTTAACTTAGGTTGCTCAAAATAATAAAACTAGGTGACATACAAAATAAGTTGGACTTCATGTGAAGGCAATTAAGGGCTCAAGTTAGCCTCCACACTTAGACAACAAATGCACGCAAACAAATTAGGCGTTTGGCAGTTTCAGAATTGAGACAAGTTAAAGCCATTAAGCCCTATAGACATGGTTTCTATGTGACCTTGGGATTCAAGCGTGCAGGCAATTTCGAGCAAGATGCCATTTTAGAATGAATTCTAAGTGACTATGCAGTTGCCTACTGATTTTAGGTTATAAGAGGTTAAAACTATAAGCATGATATCTAGGTGATTTATGCAGTAATTAGCAATGATAATTGCAGGAGAATATTCATAACTGCTTAGTTGGATCCTCTAGGCATGCTTTCTAATAGTGACAATGACACAGTGTTGAAAGTTCAACATTAGCACTTAAAGGAAACGAGCAAGAAAATCAATAATTAAGACTGATTTTAGATCCTACATGCATGATTTCTATAGTCACAATTAAGGCTGATGGCTGATTTTAGATCCTATAGGTATGATTTCTATAATCAATTGATCTATATGTAGGATTTTTAAATTACAGATTAGGTAGCATGTAAATTAACAGAATTTTATAGTGCCTAATGAATATGTTGTAATGCACATTGAGACATTGGTCATTTAATTTCCTATAGGCATGGTTTCTAGCACGTGGAAGCAAAATATGTCAAACAAATTAAATACCTATAGGCAGGTTATCTAACACACACAGTAGCAGAACATATTTGAGCAAAGTAAACACCTATAGGCAGGTCATCTAACACACACAATAGCAGAACATATTTGAGCAAAGTAAAACACCTATAGGCAGGATTTCTACCCATTTCAATGCAAGTATTAAGATAAACCCCCTTTTTCCAATTTTACTAATACCCCAATTGTTATTACAACATTATTACAGACCCAATGAATGGCATAAATTAAAGAGTAAAATAACTATAGTGAGCCTACAGCAGGGCCAAAGATATTCCCAGCCAGGCCAGGCCTTCATTCTCAAGTTCCCATAGTTCACAACAGTCTAGAAGTCATATCTTCATTTACATAAGGCAGCCAGAAACCAATTGATTCAGCTAGTAGGTGAAAAACAGAGTTGAGCAATTAGTACCATGACCCTAGTGTGTCAGAGTTTCCAAGGGCTTCAAGAACCCAGGGCAGTGCTCACACTAGGGAGATTGATAGAGGAAAATCAAAGAATGACTAGGGACCAAGTCCTAGTGTGTCAGAGTTCACAAGGGTCTCAATTGGACCCCGAGCAGTGCTCACACTAGGGAGGTCAAATGATAGAACCTAAGTGGCCTTGGTTTTCAGCCGGCCAAGAATTAGAGACTCAGAATAGGGAAACAACCAATGAAAATAGTACCAAAGTAACAAGGTTTAGAAAAGTGCATTTACATTTTTTGGAGTCAAACACTACAAAGTGATCACATAATGGACATATCAACACAGAGGGTGCATGAGTTCAAGAAACTAGTTGATGCTGCAAGTTGTCACATAACACATTGGGGCAGGTATATTTGTAAGAGGCAAGGAGTCTTAAACTTCTGGGATTACAAAGTTAATGAGCAAAGAGACGTTAGGCCAGCAAGACCAATAGTTATCACTAAATCAACAAGTTCAAACCTAAAGGATCAAACTATGCTAAACACAGATATTAAACAGTATAACTTATACCAGCAAGGAAAATAGAATCACATATTATAGGGGAAACAAGTCAGGAAAGACTAGTCTAAGATAATTGGCTGTTAGGGGTACAGAGTTGGCAGGGTGAGAACATACTAAGTGACAAACATAGTCATAAGAGCAAAATTACAGCTAGAATGAGGGTTTCAATGCAGATTAGGGCATATCATGGGTGTAAATTAGTCACTTTAGAGATCCAAAACAAGGCAGGAAACATAATGAGGCCATGTAGCCAAGGCAAACACTCAATTACCAATACATTAGGCTAAACATGCTTCAAACTATCCAAATTGCCTAAGTTAAATACAAATACATTTTTTAGAACTAACAGTTTAGGCATGAGTCAATGATAGAGAGGTTTACATCGTAATTGAATCACATATAAACAGAGTCGAGAAATTACATCAAGTCATGCAATTTAAGAAACATGGATATGCTAATTAGAACATAATGGAATGAACATTGCGAAGGTTGAGAACTAACTAGTTATTACTCAACATGTAGACAAACAAGAAAGGAACAACAATATGACCCAGAATCTCAGATGCGTCGAGTTCCCCAAGGGTTTCAAAGAACCCAGGGCAGTGCTCACACCTAAGGAAGGTCAGATAATAGGAAATCTGGTGGCCTTGGCTTTCAGCCGGCCAAGAGCCAAAATAGAACAAGAGGATAAACGAACATAGAGAAAAAACCTTAGTTTTTCTATGGGAATTTTAGCGATTCCGAGCTTGTCTAAAAGGGAATGGGGGGGGGGAGGGTATATAGTCGTAAAAATTGAACAGTAAACAAGGAAAACAGATAATTTAAGCAACAAATAATGTAAATAAACATGCAAATAAGTCTAAAATTTAATTTAAAGGAGAAATCTGTAAACCCTAGATTTTTTTAGGGAAAGTGAAAATTAATAGAATCTAAACAAAAATCGAACTCACACAGTAGTCTGAA